AGCTCTAGTTTTAGTTTCCATTTTCGCAGCTACTGTTAAAATGCAGAACGATGTTGGTTTATTCTTTCACGTCTTGCAGAGGAAGTGAGTATACTGCTGGGGGGGTTAGGGTGTGTGTCGTGTTGTAAAGATCCTCTGCCCACTACTGGCCGGGCGCTAGAACTACATCGTTTTTGATCCTCGTATGAACGCTGTGAAATTTGCAAAAGGAGCCTGGTCGTTTCTGTTAATAGCCTGGTAACATCTGCGCAGCACCTCTGTATAATGAGGATTCAAGGAAATGAGTGTGGACTTTCGTAGGGACCTCAAAAACTCCATCTCATGCCCCTTGTCCCCCTTCCATCTGCAAATATGTACAGTACTCTATGCTCTGTTTCTCTCCCTGTATATCTATGACTGTATGTATTGTTAGTACTGTTTGTTTTATTTTCAGCATTTACCCTTCTTCCATCTCATACTTCATGTTCCCCTCCCATCTATATGTGCGCTTCATGTTTCTTCTTTTGCCTCTTGTATCTCAAACTACATGTTGTTAGTAATTTTTTCTGTCTAATCCTATCCTATCATCTCTCTTTCATCAGTTTTCTTCACATCTGCAAATGTGAAAAAAGCGATATATCTGAACTAGGCCTTTTCTTTGTTTCTCTTTTGTTTCTGTATATGTGTTTGTCTGCAAAAAAAAATAAAATAAAATAAAAAGTTTTAGTTTATAAGTATTGATTGCGTCTGCCTACTCCTTTTGAGCTCTACATAATAAATCTACATAACATATATTGTTTCTGACTCGTGGAAAGTATCCATATGGTTTTAATTGTGGGTTAAAAAAATCTCTGCATGTGGCCTTTTAGACAAAAATTAGGATCATCTTTGCTTAAACGGTAAAAAAAATGTAAATAAGTGTGAATAGGACTCAGCAGTTAGTTAATCAGAAAGTGCAGTAAAGTCATTAAAAGTTGCATTAATTTCAGGTGCTGGATTTTACGAACGCCTGTAATGACCTGAAGCAGTCAAAGTGAAAAACTGTTGGACGTCTTCATTTAAAAATCAAATTAAAGTTTGGTGAATTATGTCCCGTCATAAAACAGCAGAGGTTTAGACTGGAACTGAACGGACACTAAAAGAACTTGTGGATCACACGGTTTTTCCGTTGAGCTTGTGCCTCACAGCAAGAAGTGAGAAAGCCGGTGAAGAGGTGTTAATCCTCCAGGCCAAATATTATTAATAATAATAAAAAAAAAAACACTGACTTCAGGAATGTGTGCGGTGGCTTCTCAACAAGAAGGTCCTGGGTTCCAATCCCGGTCGCATCACTGCCTTTCTGAGTTGAGTTTGCATGTTCATGTCTGCGTGGGTTTCCTCTGGGTGCTCCGGTTTCCTAGCCTGACTCTCACCAGATCCTTGTAGTTTGCTGAGCTTCTCAATAGGAGAAGTATTTCAGAAGGCGGTTCCTTGTAAAACAATCCTTGTATGTGATTGGATAAACCACATGTCTGTTATCTTGGATGACGTGTTCCTTCAACCACTCACATCGAAGCACACGATTCACCTCACGACTACTCGCTGCGTTGAAAGGGTGGCCAAATGCCGGCAAGATTTTCCAGCCCAAACTTGCTTTTTGGCTAAAAACTTAAAGTAATCAACTTGTGCTATCACGATTCTATTTATTGTCATACTGTTTATTTAATACCTTCAAGTCGCTTGGAACAAAAGTATGTGAGAAACCACCCAACCTGGCAACCCTGTGTAGTGTTGTGACAGGGGCAGTTAAAGGGGACATATCATGAAAAATCCACTTTTTGTGCCTTAAATGCCTTATGTTGTGTAGTTGGAGCCTCTAGAAGTGCAAAAAAGTTGAAAGCAGTCTCTTCATGGGTTGCAGAGAACACTTCCTATTCTGTTTAGGTAAGATTTTTCAACCCGTTCTGATTTTGCTATTCACTATTACGTGTTTAGAATTATTACGTCACAGTATTTGCAGCGAGACTGCTATATAAGGGCATGGGCGTCCAACAAAACACTTCGGCCCAGCCTTCCTCTACTGTGCATCACTTAATTTGTAGTCCAAGCTCAAGGATGCCAGCGAACAGGGCTGGACTGGCCATCGGGCGTACCGGGCAATGCCCAAAGGGCCGATGCCCATATTTGGGCCGGTCTGTTGTTCGAGCGGGGCGCGCGTATCCGCGGGGCACCTGCTGTATGTACTCGAACGGGATTCCGCCACCTCAGCGGCCGCAGTGTTCCGGGGCATCTGCGGCCGCTTTGTAATGAGCAGCTTCCGCGTCCAGCGGCTGGCGAGAGACTGTGAGCGTCCAGCCGCTCGCAGCCGCTCAACCGTGTTGTGGCTGAGCGCGCAGCCTCAACGTGGCCATGTACCCAACCCCATAAACGCGCACAGGACCATGCGTGTCTTTGAGTAATCTGTGCACCCAATAAATACACTGCTGCAAGAAACAGTCCGCGTCTCCCCTCTCCTCTCGAAGCGCGAATAAACGCCCTAAATAAAGCTCTGATACCTACATTTTGCATTGCAATTAAAAGTTCATGTTTGAGCCCAAAAGTAATATGTTTAGTGAACAAATTAAACAGATTTAGAGCCAGCAAATGGTTGACAATATGCATTTCAGTTCTATTTTTTGACAATTCTCATCCCATTGTAACAAACAATAGTGTTGTCGTGTGACCATCCTCCTTTTCACTCTGAGCCATGTTTTATTACTTTCATAGTAAATGGCAAGACTATTGCAATTTATTTTATTGTGTGAAACTGCAGGGTGGGGGGGGGGGGTACCTACCTGATCCTCTACAGTATTTGCTTCCACATACAGTAAATAAACTAGGATCTTTCGGCAACCTTGCGGCTCCGGAGGCGCATGCGTCTCTTTCCTTCTGTAGAAGGAAAAACTTTCTTAACGTTTTTAAATGCTGTAAAATTATGCATAAGTAATATTCAATTTAAAATGTTCTGTCAACGTGTCTGTCAAACCAGCGTGTGAGCATCATAGACTGTGTGCATGGATCCCAAAGCTAAAAAGAGAAGAGTCGATAATAAGACTGGACTAAGAATGAAACATAACATTTGCTTTCAGTCAATGAGGAAGGACTGCTTCATGTTTGCGATGTAATGAGAAGTTTCTATGAGATAATTGTATCTGTGCTTAGAAACTACAAAAATGGCCGCTCGGGGTGGAGTTGAACCTGGATGGGGGCGTGGTCAAAAGCGCCTCATTTGCATTTAAAGAGACAGCACCAAAACAGGTGTAGAAGAAAGGCCCGTGGAGCTACAAATAATGAGACTCAGACCCAGGCATTGCAGTTACGCTTTATATAGGCCACAAATTAATGATTTAGATGTAAAAAATCAATTATTTGAAAACACGATGTGTCCAATTTAAACCAAACTTTACACAAACATTTAACTCTTAAACACACATATGACAACATGGAACCATCTACATCTCGCCTCATATTGCATTAAAAGTGACATCCGTGTCTAAATTCGCTCAAATTTAAATCCAACGTTACACCGGCGATCCTGATTGGCTGCCGGTTTCTAAAAATATGTACAATAGGTCTGAATGTAACGAGTGATTGTAGTAAAAAATTTGGTTTATAAAAAAAAGATTACTTACTTAGTGTGAAAACTAGAGATGGAATAAAACTGTTTTTTTCTAGAGCAAAAAAACTAGTTAAATAGATGATGGATTTTTTGAAATGTAGGTCTCCCAGCTTTAAAATGTGACTCCATTTTTTTAATTTGGGATTGAACCAAAAGAGAAGGAGCAAAGTTACAAACAAACACAATAAAACAACAGGAGAAAAGACAAATTAAGAGTGAGAAGTGCAGTTTATTGAGTCTCTGATGCTCTTAGATGCAATTTAAAGTCAATTAAGGATGTAAAAAACCTGTACAGAAATGTTGGTTGTTTTTTTTAGCTTTATTGTGACTCGTTTCCCGCGGTGCTGCAGCAGATGTTGTGCCTGAGTAGTTTTAAAAGTTTAAATCATTCAGTATGATGAAATATTTAACACATATTTAACACACTGATTTTCTTCCCGGTCCCTACCTCTTGTCACTTTCAGCCAATCAAAGTATTGCATTATGTATTTCTATCATAGGAATCATTATAATGGAGCATATTAAAGCTGGAGCACCTAACTTCACGGTTCTCTTACGTAAAATGGCGGAGGCCAAAGTCGCCTCTTCCTTCTGAGGAGGCTGAGGTCCCTTCAGAGTGAGCAGGCCTCTGCTCAGGACTTTTTATGACTCTGTGGTAGCTTCTGCCATTTACTACGCTGCCGTTTGCTGGGCCCCGGGCAGCACAGAGCAGGACAGAAACAGACTGAACAAGCTGGTCAGGAGGGCCAGCTCCACTCCGGGCTGCTCCCTGGACTCTGTGGAGGAGGTGAGGGACAGGAGGGTGCTAGTCAATGTCACCTCCATCATGAACAACACCTCCCACCCACTGCACAGGACTGTAGAGGAGCTGAGGAGCTCCTTCAGTGGAAGACTGAGGCACCCCTCAGTGTAGGAAGGAGCGCTACCACAGGGCCTTCATCCCCACCAAATGCTTTAGCATAAAAAAGTATGACAAAGAAGCAAGTGTAAAATACTGGTTATTTCAGCAGGACCACTTTCTGCTGTTGTATTGGACTCTTACCTAATCTAAGTCTCTGTTTTGATGAATTGACCGAGATTGTTTGACTTTGTTGTGTAGAGAGCAGGAGGAGGAAGGAAAAAGGAAGCCCTGGCTGATCCGCCGCCACGGTTTAATTCTACCTCGTTTATATTTGAAAGCAAAGCCGCCGTCTCAACACACAATGGATTATACGAACAAAACAATGTGTGGTATTCATCCAACGTTTACTTCACCAGATAAATATGTTGTCGTCCAAAGCGTGGAAAAGCACGAGGAAAGCAGGTGTCGCCTTCAAACAGGCTCTGAAAACATCTGGATGAATGAAGAAACATGAAGCGAAACATGACAGATGTGATTTGAGTTATGGCTCAGGTTTAAACTGATTTTAATACGGCATCATGTTTTCACACCAAATCAAAAGGAAAACAAAGAACGTATTTATAGTTTTTCAACATTAGTTTGAGAGTTGAGCTGTGTAACTTGCGCGCTGATGGGCCATTGAATAGAAAACCTGTCATATGGAACAGCAGCCATCTTTGTAATGTATGTGATGCTGCACATGCATGTGAACGCCAGATCCATTTAATACATATAAATAAAACAAGAGAATCACACTAAGTTTTCATGCTGCTCCCTATGGACCAATGTCTCCTATGTGTTTGCTAGTATCGCATTCCCTTCTCTTATCTCTCTCTCACTTCTCTGAATCTGGTGTTAAGGAATCAACAACTTTGCATAGGCCTCCGAGTCGACTGCTGTTGTGGTTTAGGCCTGAACTGAACTGAACTGAACTCAATAGTGGCACCATTGACTGCTTCCACTACTGTCTTAATCCGTCCATTTACAGAAAAATGACTTATTCAGATCAATTGGGAATCACATCATAGACAAAATAGATGTAAACCACGATAAACCGCTCTCTTTCCTCTTATTCTCCTCACCCCGCTTCTCTTGACCTGAGTGGATCAGATGTGGAGCTGCGCAGTTTAATTAAGACAAGAGCATATTGGAGGCAGCCGTTTGTTTCTGCTCCAGGCGAAAGAATACTTTATTACTTATTACAACATGAGCCGTATTTAACAGGAGTTGAAGTAAAGCAGATGCTGGAGGGTCTGAGGCAGGGACGTCAGACTGAGGCAAGACAATTTTTAGGGGCCCCGGATTGTATTTTGGAGTCACTTGTTTAGACACAAGGGGCGGAGTTACATGTGCCAGAAGTTTCTGATGTTAGCGTGGAAGGATCTAAAAACAACTCCATGTCCGTAAGCTAAAAAAAAAAATACTATAATTTGCATACTTAAAAAATATCCATAATACTTTTGTGTCTGAAAAAGAAAGTTGTGACAGAGGCCAACAATACATTGATCCATCCATCTTCTTCCCCTCAACCCCAGAAATAGATTGGGGGGGGGGGGGGGGCAATCAGCTGCACCCAGTCCATGGAGCACCAGCCCCCATGATCAGTGACGACACAGCCTTGATCTTTCAGCGGAGGCTTCAGGCAAAGTGGGGTTAAGTGTCTTGCCCCAAGGACACAACGACCGCATACATCAGCGGTAGTCGGTGAAGAAGGTCTCGTGGTAAGTAATTAGTAAGTAAGTAATCTTTATTTATATACCGCTTTTCACTGCAAATCTGAGTCTCAAAGCGGTTTACAATTGTTAATTTTGGGCATTTGTCTCTCACTCCACACAGAGATGGAGCGGGGTCACCAGTACAGGAGGCACATGCCAGAACTATTGGACATATTTTTAGTGGTAGGGGAAACCGGAGTACCCGGAGGAAACCTACGCAGACACGGGGAGAACATGCAAACTCCACTCAGAAAGGCCCCTGGTCCGACCGGGATTCGAACCAGGACCTTCTTGCTGAGTAGGCGAGAGTGCTATCCACTCAGCCACCGTGCCGTGGTGGACTCAAACCCACCGACCTTCAGGCACTAAGGCCAATGCTCCCGCCAACTGAGCCATTGTCCGCCCTCAATAATACTGTCCCCCTCGATAATCCATGCAAGTAGAAACTACAGATAGAACCAAAGTGTTTTGAGAGCGAGGAACTAAAGTTAAGCTCCTCGGCTTTAATAACGTTTTGAAAATATAGGCAAGGCAAGGCAAGTTTATTTATATAGCACAATTCATACACAAGGCAATTCAAAGTGCTGAACAAAACAAGAAAGCATTAAAATCATAAATAATCACAGAACATTAAAAAGAAAGATACAAATATAAAATCCCTCAGTTGTATGCACAGCTACACAGAACTGTCTTTAACCTGGTTTTAAACATTGTCAGAGAGGAGGCCTGTCTCACATCTTCAGGAAGACTGTTCCAGATTTTAGCAGCATGAATCTGAAAAGCAGCCTCCCCATGTTTAGTCCTGACTCTGGGCACTAACAGGAGTCCAGTCCCTGTGCTCCTCAGAGTCCGGGCTGGTTCATATGGGACTAACATGTCACTAATATATTTTGGTGCGAGGCCATGGAGAGACTTGTACACAAGCAGAGCTGTTTTAAAGTCTATTCTCTGAGCCACAGGAAGCCAGTGCAGAGACCTGAGGACTAATGAGAGCGGTTAAAAAAAGAGACTATATTTCTTTACGTTTACAATAAAATACAGCTACACGAGATGAGGAATCCACTTTCACACAGGTGACCACGATCAGCCTCAGGGGAATAAGCTTAAGCAGCAGTCTTCGGTTTCTCTTGGCTAATACATTATTTCATCTAAAATCAATGACTTCTCTCCATCGACTAGTATCTCTGGCTCCTTGGTACGGTGGCACGAGTGGATAGCACTCTCGCCTCTCAGCAAGAAGGTCCTGGGTTCGAATCCCAGTTGGACCAGGGCCTTTCTGAGTGGAGTTTGCATGTTCTCCCCGTGTCTGAGTAGGTTTCCTCCGGGTACTCCGGTTTCCCCTACCACTAAAAACATGTACAATAGGTCTGGCATGCCCCTCCTGTACTGGCGACCCCGCTCCCACCTCTGTGTGGAGTGAGAGACAAATGCCCAAAAAAACCAATTGTAAACCGCTTTGTGACTCTGGTCTGTGAAAGGCGGTATATAAATAAAGATTACTTACTTACTAGTCAAATTTCTTCAAACACTATTTCTTTAGTAAACTAGACTGGTCCAAAAAAATTCACCCCCCTCAGCATTGACACACATGTGGAACGGAGCTTTGGGCCAAGAGCCAACTTTTGGACCATCCTGTAAAGACGTTTTCGAGAGCATTGGCTAATTCTTATTCTGGGTCCACCCCCATCAGCCCGGGGTGGTATTGCAAGCATGTCAGCGCATGTCATTTTGGCCACTTTTGAGCCGGGACCCGCCCCCACTGGTTAGAACATTAAAGTTAGGTACCGCAGCTTTAAAACGGCTAAAAAAGACTCAAAACTGACAGTCCTGAAGCTTTAAGACTTGAGGTGAATATGTAGCAGTTTTAAACCAGGGTCCTAAAATGAACAATAAGTTCCAAACATATAAATTGCTTCTCCTTTCGCCGACTCAAAGCCTGCTTTGTTATCCCAGGCATTTTTTTTATTTTTTTTTAAGGATTTGGATGGAGTGTCACAGCTGAACGCAAAACTATTCTACAAATTCATAGACGCAGAGAAAGAGCCAGATATCGGTAATTCAAAGACGCACCACGCCGCCCCGCACCACGCCGCCCCGCACCACTCCGCCCCACACCACGCCGCCCCGCACCAAGTGGATCTGCACCACGCCGCTCCGCACCAAGCCGCCGCCCCGCACCAAGCCGCCCCGCATCAAGCCGCCCCGCACCAAGCCGCCCCGCACCAAGCCGCCCCGCACCAAGCCACCCCGCACCAAGCCGCACCGCACCAAGCCGTCCCGAATCAAGCCGCCCCGCATCAAGCCGCCCCGCACCACGCCGCCCCGCACCACGCCGCCCCGCACCACGCCGCCCCACACCACGCCGCCCCGCACCACGCCGCCCCACACCACGCCGCCCCGCACCAAGTGGATCTGCACCACGCCGCTCCGCACCAAGCCGCTCCGCACCAAGCCGCTCCGCACCAAGCCGCTCCGCATCAAGCCGCCCCGCACCAAGCCGCCCCGCATCAAGCCGCCCCGCACCAAGCCGCCCCGCACCAAGCCGCTCCGCACCAAGCCGCCCCGCACCAATCCGCACCGCACCAAGCCGCACCGCACCAAGCCGTCCCGAATTAAGCCACCCCGCATCAAGCCGCCCCGCACCACGCCGCCCCGCACCACGCCGCCCCGCACCACGCCGCCCCGCACCACGCCGCCCCGCACCACGCCGCCCCGCACCAAGCCACAACGCGCCGCTCCACAACCCCCCGCACTACGCCGCACCACACCGTACCACGCAGCACCGCGCAAAGGAGCTGGGGCCGCCGTGTGATTGTGATGATTTGTTGCTGTTGCCATAGAAGAACGTTAGTCAAATTGTAATGGAGCTTTCGCGAAAGTTCACCGTGGTAGACCCGGCTGCTGCTGCCCAGGCCACAGGCTGCTCTTCCTCAACTCATCAATACCAGCAACGCCCACATCCAGTCAACCAATAACCACCAGGACAGCAAGTTAAAAGCCGGAGACTCCCACTTCCCGGCCTTCTGAAGTCTGCAAGCCTCCGCCGCCCCACCTCCTCCTTCTCTCATCGAAGCGTGCTTGCCTACTGCCTCTGCCGTCACCAGTACCTAGGCCCCGGGGGGGATTATGCACGCGAGCAAGCGCCGTGCTCAACAGCATCCCTCCCGGGCCTAGGGCGCCAAACATGCTCAATCAATAAACATGCTTAAATCTAATAAGTCTAACGGCATTTTCCTCATGGGTCTCTCCAAGGTGAAATGAATATGATGATTAGAGCTGTTTGGCACCCCATGTAAAACTTTGACTCAATCTGTAGGGGGCGCTATTGGGCCAATTTCAAATATTTCACTTTCACCGGACCTAAACCCTGGAGTTGAACATTGGATTCAAGTTTTGTGCGAATCAGACTTTGTTTGTGCAAACGGGAGCAAAATTAATGTTGTGAAAAACGGTCAAAAAACACTCACATTTTGCCGCTCCGCTGCTCAAACAACGTTTCACTGATCAAAAATCCCTTTAGTCATTTTGAAGGTAGATGTGTTGAGATGATCTGGAGCGATTTTGAGGCAAATCGGTGAAACGGCCGAGGAGGAGTCGCTTTCCAACCGACATGTATGAAAATGATTGCGGATCATTTTTCCATTTTGCAGTGAAATTTATGGGCTCCCTGTTTGTCAGAGGGCGGAGCCATGATAACATTTTGGTCGTATCTTGACTTGAGGAAAATGTGTACCGAATTTCATGGCTCTACGACAAACTTGACCTCTGAAACTCCCATTGGCTGTTGTAGGTGGCGCCGTTCTGGCATTTTTTGAGTCCCATAAAAATAAAAATAAATATCAAATTTTTCACCAGGTCTGATGTTTGGGTAAAATTTTACAACTTTTCATGCATGTTCAGGGGGTGAAATTAAGGCTCAAAGTGCAGAATTTGACATCTCTCGAGCAAAACAATAGGCCCTTTCCCCGTCCGGGGCTCGAGCTTAAAAACTCAAAAATGACTAACAGATTCAATGGAAGTGTCACGGTTGCCATTGTCAGAGGAGACCAGGCATAAACCGCCTATGAACACAGCAACAGACTGGAACAACACTGGGATTGAACGGAGTGATGTAATCCATGCATCATTCATCACAGGGGTCTCTTTTGTCATTGCCGTTTGGAGCTTGGCTAAGTTTGGAGCTCCTTCCTCAGCTGTTAGCTCCCAGCTCTGCACCTGATCCTCCAGAAACCATGAGGCCGGAGGCGGAAAGTCACCAATAACTGTATAATGACAGAATCTAATCGAAGCTCAGACACATTTCGAAGAAATCCGTCAAACCACCGCCGCTAATGGACTTGTGCCTTGAGTCTGGAAAGCTCTGATCATGTTTTATTCTCTTTTAACTGTGTCAAAAATGTAATCTATTTCTCCTTAAGGGAGAGGACAAGACAGAAGTGTATTCTAATGCTTTCCCAAAACACGTCTGGGAGTTTCCATTGGTGTGATTGATAAGACTCAAATTAATAATTGTTTTTGTTGTTTATTATCATCTTTATTGTTATGTTTGTTCTGTTTGTATTGTAGTTTGTGTTTTTGTTTTGTGTTGTTTTTGTGTTCTGGTTGAATGTTTTGTTGTCTTGAATAAAACAGACTTGTATATTTTTAAAACAAGCTTGTCCCATTGGCAAATCCTGTTTTAAGGCAGGGTTAGGGTTTAAGGCAGGCAGAATGTGCTCAAATTTCTATTTTTTTAAATCACTTTTTGCAGTATTCTTAAACACTTACAAAGTTTAGATATGACTGAAAGAGTGGCAGAGTGGTTAGCATCCTCAGCCCTTAAGAAAATTCTGGGTTTGCATTCTGGTTGGAACAAGGCCTTAAAGGGCCCATATTTCGCTTTATGACTTTTCTCTGCTTTGAACATGATTAAAGTGCTATTTGGCCTCATACACATGCTAAGAGTAGTTTTTTCTTTGATTCTGTCAATCTTTAGTTAAAGAGCGATCTTTCTCCTTCCCTTTCGAGAGGCACAGGAACGCCTGAGCCCACTTCTGTGACAATTATCACAAAGATGACGAATATGACGCGCATAAGCCCGTTTGCTTTGTATTTCAAATGGTTTTTAAATACTTTTGTCAAAACGGGGTAAACAATACTCAAAAAGTATGCCGTTTGTTGTCAAAAATAAAAATAATAGTAAAAGCCGGGAGGTGAATCAGCGAATCAGAGCGCGCAGCCAGTCCAGCGTATCTGTGGTTTGGTCCCGCGGACACCACATGGAGCTACTGTTTTTCTGCTTTTGTCAGCGACTAAAAGTGTTAGGATCACGTCACATTGAATAAAATGTGTTTTGGGTGTAAATATGTGACGCACTATTTGGCCCGAAGAGGAAGAAAGCGGCTTGACTCACTGGGATCTACCTCTGTTTGAATGAATCAGTTCATCTGCAACACTTCACTGACACTGTTCCAGAACTACAGGAACAATGGACCTGGACTTTCTCAAAAAACTGATCCCCCACGAGAAACGCTAACTGCCGTATACTTCTGTAAACTAAATAATTAGGGTCTGATTGTGCATTGAGGACATAGGGCTCGATGTGACGGATTGTCATAGTTGGAAAAAGTTTATTCTCATGTTTGAAATGACTTTGTACTGGTGATAAACAACTCAGAGCCTGATGCTACGTGGGGGAGGCGGGCTCACAGACAGGAGCAGACTCTGGATCAGCTCGTTTGACACATTTGAGGTGACGTCACCTCTGTACAAGAGATGGCTATAATCTCACAAGTTTTGAGTGTTGTTTGTGTATCACTCAAATTATTTTCACACATGTTTACAGGATTGACTGTGAAACATGAAGAAAAGAGTATTTTTTATATTTTATTTATTTTTATTTAAAGACAATACACATCAAAACGTGACGACAGTAGCTCAGTTAGTAGAGCACTGGTCTTTGGACCTGATGGTCATGGGTTCGAATCCACCATGATGCTCCTACTGATGTCTGCTGTTGTTGCCTGAAGCCCCCGCTGAAAGACAAAGGCCATGTCTTGGATCACGGAGAAGCCATCTTCCTGTGGACCCACCACCTGCAGAGATCAGCAAGGGACTGGTGCTATGAGCATTGGGTGGTAGCTCTCATTGCCCCCCCCCGACCCAGAAACGGAGTAATAAAGGGGTAGAAAATGATGACACGACACAAATCAAAATGGACAAACAACAAAAATATAAGTAAAAAAAAAAAAAAAACACAAAGCAAGGACAAAAGGGACAAACAAAGACACCAAAGACACAAAAGGTTTTCCACATTCACACAAAAAGTAAGAATGTCTAGTAATCACAATTTCTTTCCAATGATAAGCATCAAGAATTATTGGTGCTTTTATTTTTCGTATTTCTTTCTAATGCTAAAGATTTTGTTTTATTTAAGTCTAGAGTTATTGTTCATGTATCTTGTATTTGCTCCTACTTCACTGTACTGCTGTCACTTACATTGTGTGCACCTGTACTGTATATTGTATATAGTAATTGTAACTCTATTTTAAATTTATTCCTTATACGTTTTTTATTCTTTATTTTTTATTAAGCCTTCTCTACCCTTACCTCTCTTTCTGACTGTTGCACAGAGCCAAAGCAATTTCCAAGTCTGTGACTTCCTGTTACTTACGTGGCAATAAAAACTCTGATTCTGATTCCTCTTTCCTACTGTTCTGTAACCGATGCAGCACTGACATTTCCCCACTGTGGAAAGAATAAAGGCCGTCCTAATCTTAATCTTAAATCGTCAAAAAAAGCCACAATACAGAATTGTTTTAAGTCCGGCTGTACTTTGCTGTAATTAGCCCAATTCTCATAAACGATGGGTTCATTGTGCATCACTAAATCGACCTCCGCTACTTTCCCAAACACCTCCTCTTACATAAATGGGAATATCCTCTCGTTGCTTCCTGCTTATGAACAAACAAACAAAGTCCTGTTCAGGTTGTGCCCGAAAAAAAAAAAAATAGGTCATATGAGTTTTAAGTCAGATTTAATGATTTCTTATGCTCTGCTTTTGTCGCCAGAGGAAATTTGTCCCTGTGTAAACCCAAACAAGCAGAGGAAGAGGTCTGAGGAAGGAAAAAGAAAGCATTGTTTTGGGTTTAGGATTATAGTTAGTGTTGTTTTGTTTCTAATATGTCAGTAACGGTCGGTTGTGTAACTGTGTGATCCTCTTATTGGGCCTGGATCACGGGACCTGAGCGCAGTCTGAAGAAAAGGGCATTTGCAGTGGGAAAGGTTAGGCTAGTAATAATAGGTCCTCAATTATTATTATAAAAGGATAATGATAATAAAAAATACATAATAACATAGTAATAAAAATATATATTATAATAATTATAGTAATAATAACATGGTCATACATGGTATTCAATTATTATCATATAAGTTGATATTATTATACATTCAGTTTATAATAATATCAATATCAGTTTAAAACAGTGCTCTTTTGGACCCTTAAAAGAGATTTTTCATTCTTTCACTTGATAAACAATGGTGATAAACTAATGTAGCCACAGCTGCCCTGGGGCCCACTGACAGAAGCAGGGCAACCAGTATGTGCCATCGGCCCCTCCCACCACCTCCAACCAGTCACACACACACCAGACTCATTGTTATGTGGGAGAAGTGTCTGCCTAAAGACACGACAACAGTATAGCACTTTACACCCCCAAAAGGCTCCTGGTATTCTCGGAGGTCTCCCATCAAGGCACTAACCTGCATCTGCCCTGCATAGCTTCAGAGGTCTGACGGAATCTGGCTCTCACAAGCAAACATTGACTGTAC